TAGGTAGTGGGCCGTAGGAAGTGCCTGGAAGAAGACCTTAAATTGAGAGCGAGAAAGAGCATCAGCGGCTGTGTAGTGGACACCAGGAATGTAAATGCTGAGAGGTTGCTGCCAGCCAAGTCAGCCTGCAAATCGGCCTCCTTATGGTTAGCGAGGATGACCGCCCTTTGCCAACGATGTCGCAGGCTGCGGAGTCATCAGAGTTGCATTTAACTGCCTTGCCGGTCCAGAGATGACCCCGTGTGTGGGTGGCCGCCACGATGTGGTAGATCTCAAACAAAGTAGAAGTCTCTCTAAAGGCCGGCACGGCATCCGTCTGAGTGGGCCAGACAAACCTAAACCAGTGGTTGCCGAAAATGGCTGCGAACCCTGTGTGTGCTGCTGCGTCTGTGTGCATTGAAGATGAGTGCTCTGAAAGTGGGGGAATGAACGAAGAGATTCCAATCCATTCAGCCAACAATCTACTCCACATGTATAAATCTGCCCTGGCTGGATCATCCAGAATGATTGGGCCAGAGTCAGGCACCTCGTGGAGCAAATTAAGTAGCCTAGAGACAAAAGACCTACCCTGTGGAATGATACGCATTGCAAAGTTGAGGGACCCAAATAAGGACTGAAGTACCCTCCCAGTGCACGCAACACAATGCAGGAACAGGACAATTTCGTTCCTTAAGTGGGACAGCTCGACTGGTGGTAAGCTGGCTAGCAAGGTAGTGTTGTCCAAAACTATGCCTGAGAAAACAAGCCTGGTAGAAGGACCAAGAGTTTGCCTGGTGAAAAAGGGGGTGTGGTGGTGTGAACACTGTTGGCGTTTGTGAACCTGACAAAGAATCATCCGGATAGTGGATGACTGATGCTCAACCAAGCCTTACTACCTGCTGAAATTATATTTTGCATGGCATCGTCGATTTTGCGTAGTGCAGTGAGAACTCCTCAGCAGGAATGAGGGAGTTGATGCTGGGAATGGAGGAAGAGTGTGGTGCGGAAGAGGTCTATGTCAGGGCTTACCTGAGTTGGAGTCTGTAGCATAGATATATGTGCTCACCCTTGCAAGTAAACACAGGCCAAGGTGGTCAGGTAAGAATTCACCTTGCCTGTGAGTCAGTGCACGGGGGCTGTGCAGGATGATGCTCCAAGTCGTAGTGCAGATACGGACATAAACAGGAGAATTGTCGTTGGTAAGCCAAAGGTCAGTGGGTGCCAGAAATCAGGATAAACCAGTAGAGAGCCGAGGTCAGAGGATGCCAGAAGTCAGGGTACACGAAATAACAAGCCAAGGTCAGGAATCAACAGGAGAACACTGGAACACAAAACAGCAATACTTGAACCAGAGTCAATGAACTGACACTGCCCTCAGGGAGAGGCAGTGTCTAATACCTGGCTAATCAGTGATCAGCCACAGGTGAACCATGAGTGACAGGAGCAGTCTCAGATAATGTCCAGCCCCCAGTGCTGGATACAAGGTAAGAGTAGACTTCTGGATATTTCCTGAGCTGTTGTAGCGGTACTTACCTAACCCGGGGGCCGGCCGAGGTCCTCACTTCCCGCTGCGCGCAGCTCCCAAATGCAGGCGGGCATGGACCGCAAGATGCGGCACGGACCGCAAGATGCGGTCACGTGTTCCGCCTAGCTCTAAGAGTGTGCCGTGCGTCTCGGGCACGCTCTTAAAGGGGCAGTGGGAGCCAAAAAATGAAATGTGCTCCCATTGGCCCCTGTCATCCCACATTCCCCAGACACTCACATTGTGGGGCCCAAAATTGACAGGGGCCAATCAAAGTAAAGTTTAGGGTATTTATACTTACCTCTCCCTTAACTCCCTGCCCTATCGTGGTTTCTGTTTCAGTTCCCTTTAGCGCTTGTTGTGTTCAGTTGTGATTTTCGTGCTTGACCTTGGCTTTGTATCTGACTCCGTTTATCTCTCTATCCCTGTTTTGTCTTGTTTGCCGGCTTACTGCATGTAGGGGTAAACTACCGTGACATTACGATAGGGCCATGGACCCCGCAGATTTAAGTCAGCAATTGGCTTCTCATGAGGCTAGATTTACAGAGCAGGATCACCTTATGGATCAGATAGCTCAGGCCCTACAGACACTCTTATCTAGAACTACTCCGGTAACAGTACCAACTCCTCCTGCACCTCTTGTCCCAGATGTATCCACCAATGCTTCTGCACATTTAACCCCTCCACCCAGGTATGGAGGGGATGCTAAGTCTTGCAGGGGATTCATTAATCAAGTGGAATTCCACTTTGAGATGTATCTATGTTCCTTTCCCACTGAAAGGTCTAAAGTGGGATTCTTTATGCACCAACTAACTGATAAAGCACTTGAGTGGGCAAATCCTATATGGGAGGCTAATGGACCTATGGTGCATAATTTCGATAGCTTCCTTGCGGCTTTTCGTAGAACCTTTGACACAACTAAAAGGTCAAAGAATGCCGCCAGAGCATTAATGAGAATTAAACAGGGTTCTAGGTCTGTTGCTGATTACGCTTTTCAGTTTCGTACCCTTGCTTCGCAGGTAGATTGGACCAACAATGGGCTAACTACAGCATTCATGGAAGGACTATCTGATACTATATTGGATGAGGTAGCAGCTAGGGAACTTCCTATCCCATTAGAGGAACTTATCGACTATCTCATTGATATAGACAATAGGAATAGACGTTTTGTTACACTAAATACTCCTGAGAGTTTCAAGGTATCAGAGGAGGAACCCATGCATTTAGGGGTTGCCAAACTCTCTGATGCTGAAAAATTGTATAGGAGAAAGGAGCGACTTTGCCTATACTGTGGTAAGAAGGGTCATATGCTAAAAGAATGTCCCGTGCTTCCAGAAAACTATCGCACCTAAGGCTGGCCCCTATAGGGGACTGGCCTTGACCACTTCTAGCAAACCTGAACAGTGCTCAGATCACCTACAGCTGGAAGGAAAAGGCCTTATGCATGTCTGAGTTTCTGCAAGGTAGACTATGGAGGAAACTATCTACCCTTAATACTGGACACTATAATTGTATTGAATTTTAACCCCTTGCATATTTTTAAACTATAATTCTCTAACCACCATTTCTTTGTCATTGTATCTTAACTGGTTGGCTTGCTCTTTAGTGTGTGTATATGTATGTGTGTGTGTGTATATATATATATATATATATATATATATATATATATATATATATATATATATATATGTGTGTGTGTGTGTTTGCTCATACACACATATATTCTGCAGTTTGTCTTGTCCTGCATGCTAAAGCTAGTTGCTCCCTGCCCTGCTCAACATTGGTTTTGTTAACTTAAATGTTATTCAACATCCTGCTTATCTCTAAAGATTTTCTCTGTTATTTCTTCTCCCCCCCCCCTTATTTTATTGATACCCACCCGAATGTCTTGCTTGACCAATCCTCACCTCCTCTGTGCATCTCCATTCCTTAGCTTTTATTGCAGTCCTGTTTTGACCCTATCATCTCTGTCTTTCACACTCTGAGTTTTAAAAGACCACTTCTAGCAAACCTGAACAGTGCTCAGATTCCCACCCACCCCTCCCCTCACCACCCCACCCCAAGTTCCTTACTACATTTATAGATAGAATCCCACACACAACTTTAGATAATTCCAAATAGCAGCTGCAAACACTACCCGTAATGAGCACAATCCACCTTCTTAACCCCTAACACTCACTCCTTCTCCTCCCTTGTGCTCATTCTCCTTTCCTCTAATTACCTACCCATCAGAGCAATGCTCTATATTCTCCTCCTCTCCTTCTCTCTCATCTCCCTAAGGATCAAAATATCCCCTTCCACCCACTTCCCTCAACAAAACACTAACATTTACATTAATCCCTCTCTGCTACACTCTACCCTTCTCTCATCTCAAGCCCTGCACTCATTTCTCTATTCTCTCTCTCCTGCTCTAACCCAATCTCACCCTAGTCGCCGCCCATATAAAACCAACTCACACCTCCTGTCTCTATCTTTCCTCCTACTTCTGGCAGCTGGTGACGTCTCTCCCAACCCAGGGCCCCTCAACTCATCTGCTCACACTAAAATAAACAGAAACAATGCAAACCTCCTCCAAATACCCTGCAGTCTATCCTCCTCTACCAAAATTCAGTGTGCACTCTGGAATGCTCGCTCCATTTGTAGTAATATCAAATCTACAGCTATACATGACCTCCTCATCTCTAACTCTCACACAATACTGGCACTCACTAAGACCTGGCTATCTCCATCCGATACCGCTACTCCTGCTTCTTTATGTTTCGGTGGTCTACAGTTCTCCCATACTCCTAGACTTGACTGTAAAGGAGGTGGTGTAGGCATCCTTCTCTCCCCTCAATGTACCTTTCAACCTATCCTCCCTGCCCCTGCCCTATCCTTTACTTCCTTTGAAGTTCACACTGTACGCCTTTTTAAGCCCACTCCTTTAAGAATTGCCATCATCTATCGCCCCCCCGGTCACCCTAAACTATTAATTGAACACTTTTCCTCCTGGTTACCCCACTTTCTTTCCTCTAGCACTCCCTCTCTTATACTTGGGGACTTCAATATCCCTATCAACAAGCTCAATTGCCCTGATGCCTCTCGTCTGCTCTCTGTAACCTCCTCCTTTGGACTCACACAGATTTCTTCCTCAGCAACTCACACTGCAGGAAACACTCTTGACCTCATCTTCACCAATCTCTGTACCACCTCTGATCTCGCCACTGCTCCATTTCCTTTGTCTGACCACCATCTGTTAACATTTAACATCTGCATACCCCATACCAAAATCACACCAACGTCCACTCTCCAACCTCGCAGAAACCTCAACTCTCTCGATCTCTAGCACTTCTCCACTAAACTCCAAACACTCCTTTTACCCATCTCAAATCACAACTGCCCTAACTCTGCAACCTCACTCTACAACTCCACTCTCTCCTCTCAACTTGACATCATGGCACCTCCTACAGTTAAACGCAGCAAGCGCCCCCAACTACAACCCTGGCACACCAAGCTGACCCGTTACCTCCAAAAATGTTCCAGAACTGCTGAACGCTGCTGGAGAAAGTCTCACTTTGCATCTGACTTTGTCCACTATAAATTTATGCTGCGCTCCTACAGCATGGCTCTTTCCTCTGCAAAAGTAAGCTACTTCAACACCCTCATAAGCACACTGTCCCACCAACCCAAACACCTGTTTCACACTTTTGATGCACTTCTTCGCCCTGTGACTCCCCCTCCTTCCACCACCTTGTCCGCCACAAACTTTGCATCTCATTTCACTGAGAAGATCTCTACAATCAGGAAAGAGATCTCTAATCTTTCTCCAACCAGTATCAATACATCACCCAACCCCACTCCCCCTGCCATCCTAAGCTCATTTGCACCTGCTACAGCACAAGAGGTTTCTGCTCTGCTCCTGTCCTCCCGCCCCACCACCTGCTCCCTCGATCCTATTCCCTCGCATCTCATCCGCACTTTGTCTCCCTCTCTTGCTCTTCCTCTCGCTAACATTTTCAATCTCTCCCTTTCCTCTGGCACATTTCCCTCTGCCTTCAAACATGCAACCATAACCCCAAATCTGAAAAAGCCCAACCTTGATCCCAACTCCCCATCCAACTACCGCCCTATCTCACTACTGCCATTTGCCTCCAAGATCCTCGAGAGAGTTGTCTACGCCAGATTGACAGACTTTCTTGAATCCAACTCTCTGCTTGACCCCCTTCAGTCTGGATTCCGCGCTGGTCACTCTGTCGAAACTGCTGTGTCCAAAGTGTCCAACGATTTAATTGCTGCTAAATCTCGCGGCCAATACTCTATCCTAATCCTCCTTGATCTTTCTGCCGTCTTTGACACTGTTGATCATCAACAGCTTCTTCACATTCTCCGTAACTTTGGTCTACAGGATTCTGCTCTCTCCTGGTGCTCCTCCTACCTCTCCCAGCGCTCCTTCAGTGTTTCTTTCTCTGGCTCTGCCTCTTCTCCCCAACCCCTCCCTGTCGGCGTCCCCCAAGGTTCTGTCCTCGGCCCCCTACTGTTCTCTATCTATACTGCCTCCCTTGGTAAACTCATCAGCTCTTTTGGCGTCCAATACCATTTATATGCAGATGACACGCAAATCTACCTGTCCTCCCCTGATCTCTCTCCGCCCACCTTGACTCGTGTTTCTGACTGCCTCTCTGCTATTTCCAACTGGATGGCTGCTCACTTCCTTAAACTCAACCTGTCCAAAACAGAACTTCTAGTTTTTCCTCCCTCAAGTGCTGCTACTCCTGTGTCTGTCGCCATCCAAGTCAACGGCGCTACTATCACCTCTACCTCCCAGGCTCGCTGCCTATGAGTTATTTTTTGATTCTGATCTCTCTTTTACTCCCCATGTTCAATCGATAGCCAAATCCTGTCATTTCCAACTCAAGAACATAGCGCGCATCCGCCCATATCTAACGTCGGACGCGGCTAAGGTGCTGGTTCATGCTGTTGTTCTCTCTCGCCTTGACTATTGCAATCCCCTTCTCACCGGTCTTACATGTTCCCAGCTTGCACCGCTGCAATCTATAATGAATACGGCTGCCAGGCTTATTTTCCTGTCCGGTCGCACCTCCCACGCCTCCACGCTCTGTCAGTCCCTGCATTGGCTTCCAGTTAGAAATAGGGCCCAATTCAAAATTCTGGCGCTTGCTTACAAATCCCTACATAATGCTGCTCCAACATACCTATCCTCCCTCATACACAAGTATGTCCCGTCGAGACCCCTGCGCTCAGCCCAAGACCTACTCCTTTCCTCTGCCCGGATCCCATGACGCCTCTGATGCTCGCCTTCAAGACTTCTCCAGTGCTGCACCTATTCTGTGGAACTCCCTTCCTTCCTCAATCAGACTTTCACCCAGCCTCCATTCCTTCAAAAAATCTTTGAAAACTCACTTCTTCATTAAAGCGTATCAATTAAACTGATAGCAGGTTTCTCATCCCCCACCCCATGACTCCATTCCTTCACCTGTCAAAAATGACCTACCAAGCACTCAATAAACCCTCCTGTAACAAACTATTTAATTCCCCTACTTTAACCCTTTGTGTCACTACACCCCACTCCCTCTAGCATGTAAGCTCATCGAGCAGGGCCCTCAACCCCCTCTGTTCTTGTACGTCAGTGGTCTGATCTCAATTATGTGTCTGTTAGTGCACCCATTGTACAGCGCTATGGAATTTGTTGGCGCTATATAAATAATAAAATAATAATAATAATAAATAATATCTAAGTCCCCAAAATTGCCTCTTAATCGACTACTTCTCCCTGTTTCTCTGCATCTGGAGAATAATTGCATAGCAAGAAACATACTAGCCCTGGTTGATTCCGGGGCAGCTGAGAATTTTATAGACTCTAGATTTGTTAGGAAAAACAAAGTACCCATTGGAGAGAAGAAGACACCCATGGCCGTTGAGGCCATAGATGGTAGACCATTATGCTCCCCAGTTATCACACATGAAACTGAACCGTTGCATATGTATACAGGGATGTTACACTCAGAAACCATTCGGTTTCAGGTCATCACCTCTCCTTCCTCCCACATTGTGTTAGGGTACCCATGGTTACGTTCTCACAATCCCATTTTTGACTGGGAATCAGTACAAATAGTATATTGGAGTGAAACCTGCCAAGAGTCTTGTATGATTAAAATCACCCCTTTGAATTCTATTAATGTTCCTACTACTCCTCCTTTGTCTACTATTATACCTCCTCAGTACATGTGTCTTAAGTCTGTCTTCGATAAGAGGGAGGCTGAAAAATTACCGCCTCATAGACCCTACGATTGTGCTATTGATTTATTGCCTGGCACTATACCTCCCAAAGGCAGGGTGTATCCTTTGTCTCCACAAGAAAATCTTGTCATGGAGGAATATATTAAAGAATCTCTGCAAAAGGGATTTATAAGGAGATCCTCTTCTACTACTTGTGCCAGTATGAAGTCTTCTCATAGAGTTCCTTGTGGGTTGTTGCACCCGTTGCCCATACCTGAGAGGCCTTGGTCCAATCTATCCATGGATTTCATTGTTGAATTGCCTCCTTCGAATGGCAAAACAGTCATCCTGATGATAGTGGATCGATTTTCTAAGATGGCTCATTTTGTGTCTCTTGTCAAATTGCCCTCATCCAGGGAACTTGCTTCTATCTTCGCCAGGGAGGTGTTTCGGTTGCATGGCATTCCTGTATCAATTGTATCCGATAGGGGTAGCCAATTTATTTCCAGATTCTGGAGAGCTTTTTGTTCAGAGATGGGTATTTCTCTCTCGTTTTCCTCCTCTTACCACCCCCAGTCTAATGGAGCTGCTGAACGTGCCAACCAGTCCCTAGAGCAGTATCGTCGTTGTTTCGTATCCCACCATCAGAACAATTGGGCTGACCTGCTTCCTTGGGCTGAATTTGCTCGTAATAACGCTGCTCATGAATCTTACGGTAAAAGCCCTTTCTACGTTGTTTATGGCCGGCATCCTGTTGTTCTTCCAGCTGCATTCTCCTTACAGGGCATGCCAGCTCTGGATGAACATTTGGCTGGTTTACGTACTACTTGGGAGCAGGTTCAGCGTTCTTTGGTGGACTCCGCTGCTCGCCAAAAGGTTCAAGCTGACAAACATCGCAGGGCGGCTCCGTCCTATGTTGTGGGAGACAGGGTTTGGCTTTCCACTCGCAATAGCCACCTTTGTGTGCCTTCTATAAAGGTGGCCCCCCGTTTTATAGGTCCTTTCCGTATTTTGCATAAAGTTAATTCTGTTTCGTATGCCTTGGATCTTCCTAAGAACCTGCGTATTCCTAACGTCTTTCACACCTCCTTGTTGAAGCCCCTCCTGTGTAACCGCTATACCCAGCATGTTCCTCCTCCTCCTCCTGTTTCTGTGGAGGGTCATGAGGAGTTCAAAGTGGCTGCTGTACTTGACTCTCGTTTTCTCAGGGGTCGACTCCAGTACCTGGTGCATTGGAAGGGTTATGGGCCTGAGGAACGCAGTTGGCTTTCCGCTGACGCTGTTCATGCTCCTCGCCTTGTGCGTTCCTTCCATTATTGTTTTCCTGCCAGGCCTGGTCCTCCCCGCCCGTGTCTTCAGGGGGGGTACTGTAGCGGTATTTACCTTACCCGGGGGCCGGCCGAGGTCCTCACTTCCCGCTGCGCGCAGCTCCCAAATGCAGTCGGGCACGGACCGCGAGATGCAGTCACGTGTTCCGCCTAGCTCTAAGAGCATGCCGTGCGTCTTGGGCACGCTCTTAAAGGGGCAGTGGGAGTTAAAAAATGAAATGTGCTCCCATTGTCCCCTGTCATCCCACATTCCCCAGACACTCACATTTTGGGGGCGTGGATATGACAGGGGCCAATCAAAGTAAAGTTTAGGGTATTTATACTTACCTCTCCCTTAACTCCCTGCCATATCGTGGTTTCTGTTTCAGTTCCCTTTAGCGCTTGTTGTGTTCAGTTGTGATTTTCGTGCTTGACCTTGGCTTTGTATCTGACTCAGTTTATCTCTCTATCCCTGTTTTGTCTTGTTTGCTGGCTTACTGACTACTGTAACCTTGGTTAGGCGTTTCTTGGTGACAGTCAGTCTGGACATGTGGGCTCTGAATACCCCCGCATTAAAGTCATTGCACGCCCAAGCCATTGTCCCTCTGCCCGCCCTACTGTCTAGTGTGTGAGGTGTTGGAGAAGAAAGCTTTGTTGAGTCGTGGGACTCTCTCTTTAGGACTACTGAGATGTCACCATGAATGTAACCTTTATACTCTAGGATGTCTTGGGAAATTATGAGTAGTGATATTAGATCAACGTCCCTTCGATCAAAAATTTCCTTCTCTATGGAATCTGGAACAGAGTGGGCCGGTGAGACGTATAGAGTAGTGAAAGTGGGTGTTGGGGTAAGCCAGACTGTATAACCGAGACCTGCCAGGCCTAACGAGATACCTGGTGTGGCTATAGCCGTTTCCACTGACCAGCCTGTTGTTGATCGTTTGGAGGCTGGCCAGGATAGTGACCAGGGTCTCCTGAGTGGAATCTGAGGAGCAAGCTGGCGGCCTTTGCGAACTAGAGCAGGGCCTGGGGACGTTGGCCTGTATAGTTCTGCCTTTCTGGCAGTGGCTGGAAAGGGGATACCCCTGAGTCTGAGATCTGCTGAAATTTTAGGAATGGTCCAGTATCCCAGGGAACTGGGGGTAGAAGGGGTGAGAGAATCCTCTGGAGACCCAGGCCTGACTGGCGCGCTT